TTTTTTATGTTAATACTCAATTCCCTTATTTCCCTCTTTATTCTTCCATCACTTCTTTGTTACCCTTTATCATTTCCTTTTTATTTTAAAGGGATATGTTTTTTTAAGTATTCCCTTACTCAGCTAAAATTTTTCCCACCCCAGTATATTTGGTATGGTTCGCTGAATTAGGAAATATGTGATTTTTGTGTTTAACGTATAAAATAGAATAAAGCTTGTATTCAACTGTACCAAATTATTTGTTCAAAATATACGACATGATATTGAAAATCTACCTATATAGCTTGAGATGTGTGGTTGCCACGTGCTGTTTAGCCAGAAAGGTTCCTCTAAACCGCTTATAGCAGATCTTACACTGAAGATGCCGTCGATTAATGTGCTCCATGATTTTTCTGTCAACTTCCTCTGGAATATTTTCCAACTCCCTAGTATGCTTCATGACAGATATCTGATCCCAGTCCAGCCCGGGTCCAATCTTAGTTTTAAGCATCGGGCACACCTGGTCAGTACCAACTAGTCTACAGATATCTTCTTTGACAAGGTTTAGTTTCTTTATATCTACACTAACAGATTTCACAGGAGTCACGCTATTTTCCATCTTTCCATCTGGGAGGACGGAGGGTTCAGGATTCAGGGGAACAGCTGAGTGTCCTAGTTTATCAACCACATGCCATACTCCTTTGGGACCTGTAAAAGCATTACTAAATACAGCATCTCGTTTGCTATCGACAAACTCGATAGTTTTCTTGTGAGACTGTGTCATATGTCTCTTTGCACTTTTCCATGACGTAAAGTGAGCTTTGCAGAACATACATGGTAATCTTTGAATCAGATTTTCTGAAGAATCGTCGTTCTTCGGGACTGTCTGAGTCAATGGTTTCTGGTTTGGTTCTACTTTCTCTCCTTCTTCTTCATCGAACCTGATCACAATATGATTATCAACAAGTTTCTGTTGGTTTATTTTCCCGTTCATATCCTTTACTGACTCCTGGCCCTCAGACACCTTCCAGGTTTGGTAGAGAGCATTCTTGGTATTATATATGGGTTCCAGTAGTACTCTTCTCTCCTTTGGTTCTTCTGTCACATTCAACTTATTCGTTCTGTAATAGATATTGAAAATTAAATGGAATAGCCAACTTAATTTTCGGTCAATTTGAAGAAATTCATAAACGATCACATTATCATTATCATTATCATTAACTTTAAGATGGTACCAGACTATTTTTGTCGCTTAATTGAAAAACTGCAAAATCATTACTCATTCAAAGCTGAAAACTTTAGAATGGTGGATATCGGGATTAAGGCTTAATCCACTCTTTTTCTTAATCTCCAGATTAAATATGGCTTGTTCTCCTCTCATTTTTAATCTTCAGATTAATTAAGAGAGCAAGATTAAGGATATCTCATTCTAAAGTTTTCAGCACAGATTATTTTTGGGTACAGTTTAAATTTAATAAATGAAACTCAGTTAGAATTAGATTTACATTACACTTTGGGAGTTTATTGATAATACTAATAATAATTACATTGAACCTGTAATCTTATGAATGAGACTTATGCTCCCTTCTATTTCAGAACCAATAAAACTAGCTCAGTTTCGAGCTGAATGCGAGTTTAGGGGAATGTTAACATGTTCAAAATGATTTTAATTTCTTGGGAAGAAAAGATAATAAGAATAATTAAAATAAAAGATTTCTGTATTACCTGTACCCAATTTATAAAAATTCATAAAAATAATAATTTGTAAAAAAATTAAAAACCCAAGGAAAATTTAAGAAGTAAAAAAACCTGTAAACAGAGTTAGGATCTTGTGAAGCTATGGCGGTGAGATAAGTTGCAACAGATTTAAGATCACGAGATTTCTCGGGCTTCAATTTGTTCACAAGAGGAGCGAAGAGGATGTCATTGATAATCCCTTTAATAACAAAATATTTATGCTGTTAGGATTCATTTCATTCTGATCCGGATCCTATCCGGATCTAGCGCATAGGTATTTCTGAATAATTTACTTTTTCATTTTCAAAACCAATTTTCCAAAAATTTTCTTGGTTTGAATTTTTTAAATTAATTTGATTAAAATTAAAAAATTAAATAAGCACAGTTATTATGGAAATTATAAAATTAAAGAAAAAAATTGTTATTACGGCACATGTTTAAAGGGACTTTAGACTTCTCCCAGTAATGTGTCCGATTACCAACAGTACCATAAAAAGCTTCGGAAGTATGTGATCTTGTATGAATGAGATATCTATGTTCTTAACTTTGAAAATTTATCATTTTCTTTTGTGGTTTCTCTGCAAAAGTGACTTCTTCTGCAACGCAATGGAGGGAATTTTCAGAATTCAAAAATTTTTCAAGCAAGGAAATTCTTATCATTTGGGATAAATATTGAAAGGTACTGTTGCGAATCAGGCATAGAAGGCCGTTTGAAGTTACGTCTCTAGTTGAAGATTAGAGGTAAGGCCCTAACAATAACCTGAGGTTCTGATGAGATCCATACTAGGTGAATAATTATCCATATTCCAGTTCTCAGGGTCGGAGGAGCATTGCGTATCCTCCGCCTTGATCACCACGGTGGTCTGATTCTCCTTGTCCTGTCCGGAGAACTTGTGGTTCACATTGCTGGACAGTTCCTTGCAAAAGGAACGCTTGTGTGCGACTGTAAGACAAAGAAAAATTATTTCATGATTTTTAAAAATACAAGAAAACTTCAAACAAAAATAATTTTATTGAACACATGGATGAAAAAATGCAAGACTTAAAATTCTGGATATTTTTCTTTAAGGTTTCCTAGATTAGCTATACTCCTAAACATCCCAAGGCAGACTTTGCACTCGTAAATAAGGTTGGCCTCGTTCAGCAGAACACGTTTAACCTCCAAGGAACCAGTCTCGAGGCTGTGTACTGCCTGTTTCATGCCTGTTATTGTTGTCAGGATTGGAGGCTTAAGAACTGAAAGATCTGGACCTAAATCATACGAAGAAATTATAGTTTGACGAGAAAGGTGAAAAAACTGTGCCGCCAATTGAAGTGGTAAAATCTCTGTATAAAAACAGTGTAAAGATATACAAGCGAAGCCACTGTCTTCAAAAACGCTTTTTTGGACCATTATGACTAAAATGAAGTATTTTGATTATATAACGGTCTAAAATACCTTTCTTACACCTTTTACTAACAGGACTATAAACAGTTGTATAATGTACTAGAATACCTTTTCATTCCTATTCCTAAGAGGACTAAGCATCAGAGTTATCTATTGGTCTAGATTACCTTTATAATTCATATTACTAACAGGAATATGTTTAGCTATGTAAAGGTTTAAATTACCTATATTAATCCTTTAATAACAGGGCAATGTATAGTTATAGAACAGTCTAAAATAACTTATTTATCCTTTTACTAACAGTACTATGCATAAGTTATAGAATGGTCTAAAATATCTTTATAAATCCTATTACTAACAGAACTATGCATAGTTATAGAACAGTCTAAAATAACTTTATTAATTCTATTACTAACAGGACTATGCATAGTTATATAACGGTCTAAAATAACTTTATTAATCCTTTTACTAACAGGACTATACAGTATGCATAGTTATAGAAAGGTCTAAAACAACTTATTTATCCTATTACTAACAGTACTATGCATAGTTATAAAACGGTCTAAAATAACTTATTTATCCTTTTACTAACAGTACTATGCATAGTTGTAGAACTTTATTGACAAATTAGAAAAGTATATGGGCATACTGGCATAGCGTTTCTGCTTGCCACTTTGATCCGGATCCAAAGAGCTTTTATGTTACAGATCCTGATCGAAGGAACAATTATGTTAAGAAACCGGATTCTAAACTCTGTAAACAAACTTTTTGAAGTGATTCAATTTGTATCCAAACTTGGGGGGTTTATCTTATTACGTTAATCTTTGCTTCGATAAACTAGATTTTCAAAAGTCAGGGTGTAGTTTAAAGCAACCCGTTCACAAAAGTGTTCCATGAACGAATCATCACAACAGTAACTTTAAATCCTTATGATAAATCTTTTATTCTTAGATTGACAAACGCAGATATCTTCATCATCGGTACTTAGATAAAGAACAGAGTACAGTTGTGATTCTTAAATAAGCCTCATTAAGGGATTTTCTTGAAAAATCATAGGAAACAGGATGATTCTTTACAATAGCAGTAGATTGAAACCGTTTTAATAAAAAAATAATATTAACGCGTTTCCCAACAGATCAAAAAATCCAAAGTGTTCATTTTTCGCGAACTCTCCTTTAAAACAAGGTGAACATTAAACAGTGCACAACCCCTTTAAATCTGGTAAATCTTGTTTATATGAACTTATTTCTCCTGCCTAGAATATTGCTCATGTGATTCAACAATCTCGGCGGACCCATTTTATCTGAAATATTTACGAGCACATCATAACTTTATTATCATAAATATTTATAAAAATATATTAAAGACTATTTAATAACTGAAACGAAACAAACTAAATAATTTTCTGTTCGTAACATAAAAATGTTGAGATACAATTTTAGGATTGGTAAAAAACAAATAAAACTATACACTAGGGGGGACAAGGGGTCTCCATCATACAATTATATTTTCAGAAGATCGTTTTATATCATTTACATCTGTGTCAATGTTCGCATAATAAGAAAAATTATATATTTGTCTATATCTGAACCAAGAGGTAACAATGACTATTTGTCGTTCTTTGCCCCATATATAAAACTGTTTATGTAAATAATATCTGAAGTTGAATTAAACATGCTTTTTATGCACAAAATATTTTTTTCAATAATGGTTTAGAAAACTTAATAAATTATCATAAAATATAAATGGGGTTCGTACTTTTTGGAAGAAAACAATTTAGATGAGAGTTATTGAAATTAAATAACCAATGGTCAGACTACAGAAGATAGCAATTAGTGGTTTCTGAGTGCATTAACAATACAGTAGTTCCGACCTCAAACTGAAGTTCAGTTGGGCGAACATCAACTTTATTTTGACAACATAATCTTAATGACCCTCAAATAAGTTTCTTACACTTAAAGAGACACAAGGGACTGTAAGCGTAATTTCAAGCGACCCTTCTAATAAAGATGGCAATGCCCAATTCACAACTGTACCTTTAAAAGCGCTGTCTGATAAAATGTTAATTAGATACCCAAGTTTTTTGTTTCTTTAAACTGTTTATTTTCATTTGCGGTGTCTCTGCGCGAAAGTGACTTGCGAATTTCTTGCTCATTAGAAAAAATGAAGAAATTCACAGAAATAAACAATTTTTGAGTCAGAAATACGACCCTATGTTTGATTAGATTAAGGTTTCAAGGGTATCGTAGTAAATCGGCCATCCTTGCATGGAGACTGGAGAGTTACTTGAAATTACGCTAACAGTCCCTTTAACAGTTCTATTAAACATACAGAGCATACTAAAGTAATCTTCTAAAGTTATCAGCACCAGGAAGACAAAAATCTGCATTTAAAATTAATAATAAAGTAGAATTTTATGAGTAAATCTGAGTATTAAATATTAGTAATAAGTAAAAATATTTCTCTGAAAAAAATACAAAAATTGCATGAAAAAAACTAAATAATTAATCATTGATCTAATTCACTTTGAACTGAATAAAGAGATTGTTATCATCTCATTTCACTGGAAGCTCTTTTACTGCGAGAGGAGTCGGAGACTCATAACCTTAAAAACGTAGTATTTTTTATTTTTCCTAAATCTGGTCACAACATAAATTTTTAGCTTTTTAAGATTTTTGACTCATACTCAAAGAAGTGGTTGTAACACACAAAAAAGCATGAGATATAGAAAGAAAAAATTTACACCAGGAAATAGCTGAAAATTTTAGCGTTTCGATGACACCTTGATTGTGAAATTTAAACAAAAATTTTTCCCTCAGTACCAAATACCCATACTGCAAAGTTTTTGCGGGACAGTACTTCTGGAACATATTCTTAATGAACACTTCTCGAACGTATTCTCGAAAAGATGAAAGGATGAATTTTGATTGTCAATTGAAACAACAATCAACCAAATATAATTCGGAATGAAAGTTTAACTTCATTTTGGCGATATTTATTTTAGAAGAACTTTCATGCAAAAATTAGCAAAAGATGAGTCAAAATCGAAAAAAATAACGTTTTCCTGGTAAAACCATGACAATCAGTACAATTTAAGACATTATCCATATATTCCGCATAATCCATACAATCTTTTGGTAAAGATAAAAAAAATCCGTACAATCCGTACATTTTGACCACCCTGAAATATGACTTAATTACTATTTTCTTGTTTTCGACTTAAAGAAAGTCACTCATTCTTAATTTATCCTCTCAAAAAAACTGTATTTATGTAACTTCTCATGAGAATTACAATACATATATCATTTAAGGTTACACAAACCTAAGAAGAATAACGATAAATATAATAAGGATTATATCGGACTAATAGGACTTTTGCAGACTATAAGAGCGAAACAGGGATAAACCCCTTACTGGCAAACAAGGACAAAGGGATTTTGATCATAAAGACTTTTACAGAAGAAATATAGTCCAGTACTGCCAGGAACTACTTACTACTTAGGACTGCACAGACCTACGATTATGGGACTTAGTGGACATATATGACTACTGGATGTATTACAAAAAACTGCTGTAGACTGTAAAAGGAATCTGTGATCATAATACATAGTGAATATGACTAAGCCAGGGACTAACAGACACTGAAATAAGAATAATTAAAATAAAAGATTTCTGTATTACCTGTACCCAATTTATAAAAATTCATAAAAATAATAATTTGTAAAAAAATTAAAAACCCAAGGAAAATTTAAGAAGTAAAAAAACCTGTAAACAGAGTTAGGATCTTGTGAAGCTATGGCGGTGAGATAAGTTGCAACAGATTTAAGATCACGAGATTTCTCGGGCTTCAATTTGTTCACAAGAGGAGCGAAGAGGATGTCATTGATAATCCCTTTAATAACAAAATATTTATGCTGTTAGGATTCATTTCATTCTGATCCGGATCCTATCCGGATCTAGCGCATAGGTATTTCTGAATAATTTACTTTTTCATTTTCAAAACCAATTTTCCAAAAATTTTCTTGGTTCGAATTTTTTAAATTAATTTGATTAAAATTAAAAAATTAAATAAGCACAGTTATTATGGAAATTATAAAATTAAAGAAAAAAATTGTTATTACGGCACATGTTTAAAGGGACTTTAGACTTCTCCCAGTAATGTGTCCGATTACCAACAGTACCATAAAAAGCTTCGGAAGTATGTGATCTTGTATGAATGAGATATCTATGTTCTTAACTTTGAAAATTTATCATTTTCTTTTGTGGTTTCTCTACACAAATAACACAACGGAGGGAATTATCAGAATTCAACACTTTTCAAGCATTTATCATTTGGGATAAATATTGAAAGGTACTGTTGCGAATCAGGCATAGAAGGCCGTTTGAAGTTACGTCTCTAGTTGAAGATTAGAGGTAAGGCCCTAACAATAACCTGAGGTTCTGATGAGATCCATACTAGGTGAATAATTATCCATATTCCAGTTCTCAGGGTCGGAGGAGCATTGTGTATCCTCCGCCTTGATCACCACAGTGGTCTGATTTTCCTTGTCCTGTCCGGAGAACTTGTGGTTCACATTGCTGGACAGTTCCTTGCAAAAGGAACGCTTGTGTGCGACTGTAAGGCAAAGAAAAAGTATTTCATGATTTTTAAAAATACAAGAAAACTTTAAACAAAAATAACTTTATTGAACACATCGATGAAAAAATGCAAGACTTAAAATTCTGGATATTTTTCTTTAAGGTTTCCTAGATTAGCTATACTCCTAAACATCCCAAGGCAGACTTTGCACTCGTAAATAAGGTTGGCCTCGTTCAGCAGAACACGTTTAACCTCCAAGGAACCAGTCTCGAGGCTGTGTACTGCCTGTTTCATGCCTGTTATTGTTGTCAGGATTGGAGGCTTAAGAACTGAAAGATCTGGACCTAAATCATACGAAGAAATTATAGTTTGACGAGAAAGGTGGAAAAACTGTGCCACCAATTGAAGTGGTAAAATCTCTATATAAAAACAGTGTAAAGATATACAAGCGAAGCCAATGTCTTCAAAAACGCTTTTTGGACCATTATGACTAAAATGAAGTATTTTGGTTATATAACAGTCTAAAATACCTTTCTTACTCCTTTTACTAACAGGACTATAAACAGTTGTATAATGTACTAGAATACCTTTTCATTCCTATTCCTAAGAGGACTAAGCATCAGAGTTATCTATTGGTCTAGATTACCTTTATAATTCATATTACTAACAGGAATATGTTTAGCTATGTAAAGGTTTAAATTACCTATATTAATCCTATTAATGACAGGGCAATGTATAGTTATAGAACGGTCTAAAATAACTTATTTATCCTTTTACTAACAGGACTATGCATAAGTTATAGAATGGTCTAAAATATCTTTATAAATCCTATTACTAACAGGACTATGCATTGTTATAGAACAGTCTAAAATTACTTTATTAATCCTATTACTAACAGGGCATTGCATAGTTATAGAACGGTCTAAAATAACTTAATTAATCCTATTACTAACAGGACTATGCAATATGCATAGTTATAGAACGGTCTTAAATAACTTAATAAATCCTACAACTAACAGGACTATGAAGGACTATCCAGGACCAGCGTAAATTAAGGTGTATTCAAACCAGGAGCTGCACAACGTTCGCTTAGAGAGGAGTAATCCAGGAAGGATAACAAGAGGCAGAATGAAGAATAGCAAACGTCGATATGTAAACTGGTATCAATTAAGATGGAGAAAGGATCAACAAAGACATCAAGAGGATGAGTCTATACAAACAATGAAGATAGCCTCCTGGAATGTAAACAGCCTCCAATGCTATGTGAAGAAACAAACCGTGACAGACATATTGGAGACCCAGGATCTAAGTATCATAGGATTGGTGGAGACTCGTATAAGAGAATATAATTATGAGGACTTATCTATGTTCCACAGATATAGAACTATAACAGTGGAGAGGGGATATGGGGAGAGAGCTGGCGGAGGAATTCTGTTACTTGTAAAGGATGGGATTAGACATTCTGCCTGGAACCCTATATACCCAGAGACACCAGGAACAGAGAAAGAAAAAGCTTGGATCTGATTACACTTAGGAGAGATCCAGATAACAATAGGATTTGTATACATGGCAGCGCAGGTTCCAGGAAGTGAAGGATACAGAACCTGGAATAGCAATATGTATCTAAGCTTGAAAAAGGACCTGGAGAAACTCAAGGTAGACGGGAATGAAGCATATATCTTTGGAGATTTCAATGGCATGTTGGGTGCGGGGAGGATGGTATTGCTGGAAACCTGCCAAATGTGAATTTTAATGGCCGACTTCTCCAAGATTTTGTTGCTATAAACTGCATGAAGATGGCGAACGCAGACCCAAATCTTACAACAGGACTGTTCACAAGGACAGCAGGAGGATACTCAACAATACTGGACTATGTGTTATCCACAGGGGGAATATCCAGTAGGATATGCAGTCTGAAGATTGACAAGGAGGGGGATATTTTCACAGGAAGCGACCATGCAGGGCTAGTACTCGAGATAGAAGCAGTAGAGGCTGAACCAGATGAAGGGGTTTAGGATGGGGATGAAATCCATATTCCGAAAAATACAATTTTCACAGAATTCAAGGCATGCCTAAATGAATTATTGAATCAACAGTCAGATTATGGGGAGTTATCCTTAAATGATAAATGTCTTAGGCTACAGGAGGTAATTAGAAAGGCAGGACTGAAGATTTTTGGTAACCCTAGACGAAGGGAGAAAAAGAGGAAAAAAGTCAAGATCAGCAAGTCCCTCAGAAAACTTAAGGACAGACAAAAGTGGTTGGAAAAGTCGGCCAAGAAATTAACGATATCTAAAGCGTCTTGGAGATTGGCTGGCGCAATCTGGAACGTGGAGGAGAAACAAAAACTGAGTGAGAAATTAATACATTAGCATGACGTGTCCGACAAATGCAGGGTTAAGAGTCTAGAGGATAAAATGAAGAGGCTGAATGAGTTAAGGATGAACACTTTACTAAAATCTAAACAGTTCTGGGCCTTGGTGAAGAAGGTAATGAAGCAAATGTCGTCTTTGAGTGCAGTGGAGGATGCGGATGGACAATTAGTGACAAACAGGAAGCTGATAGAAGAAGTGGTTTTACTTGAACTTGGAAAAATATATAGGTGACAAAAATCCAGGATCTTTGACTTCAAAGGAGAGCAGCTGGTCAAAACAGCTTATGCAATGCATCATGAGGACCACGGAGAGTGGATTAGAAAAGATCATGAAGGCCCAAAGTTTGAATCGGAAGTGTGTGCTCCAGTATCAGAAAGGTTTATTCAAAATCTGGTAAATAGCCACAAGGATAAGAGAGCTTCAGGTGTAGATGAGATACCAAGCAGGTTATATAAAAATTCATCAGAACTATTTAATAAGAGGCTAACTGAGTTGGTTAATGAGTCCCTGGAGTCAGGAGAGACGCCTGAGTGCCTGAGTACTGGAAAAATGTCACTTATAGACAAGAAAGAAGCATTACTTAGAATCTTGAATAAGCAACAAATAACAGTCTCCAGTAATCACCAAGACACTCAACAATAGAATGTTGAAGATTTGTGAGAGAGAAAACCTGTTTGGAGATACTCAATACGGATTCAGACCAGGGAGTTCAACCACGGATTGTATATTCCTTTTGTTGGCTGCAGTAAGGAAAGCTAAGAAACAGAAATACAGGATATCAGTAGCATTCTGTGACCTCCAGAAGGCATATTACTTAATAAATTGTGAGATACTCTTTAAGAAACTAGAGTGCAGCGATTTGGAGGCAAAGTGTTACAGATGGTGCAGTCAATGTATGATAATGATAACGTTGTAATTAACTTAAGCCAAGGTTTGTCTGCCCCGCTCTGGTTTACAGGTGGAGTCAAGCAAAGATGTGCCCTATCACCATTGTTATTTGCATTATATATTGCTGGACTAGGGATCTGGTTGCAAGAGACAAAATTAGGGATCGAAATTGGTGGAGTGCATTTGACTGGACTATTCTTTGCAGATGATTTGATACTGGTGTCCAAAACTCCAATCAGAGGAATGTGCTACTTACTAGGGCAACTAAACCAGTTCTGAACAAGTATGAAAATGGTTCTGTCAGTAAGTAAATCTTTTGTCCTCACCACAGGGGATCACAGTAAGAAATGGAGAATTGGGGACTTGAGGATACACTGGAAGAATCCTTAGTTGCTAAGTAAGTTGCTGATTAAGGAGTCAACATTCAACTGCGAGGCAGGTGTATTTTAAACAGGGAAAAAGATGTAGTGTCATCGGCGCGCAGGTATCCCCATTCAATCATGAGCCTAACTAGAGCAGGGTTGGACAGGTCAAGAGTTGCAAGATTCCTATGAGAAACATGTGGAATCCCAGCTATCCTGTATTGTTCGAAGGTTATGAGCTACAGCAAAAGAACAACAGAGGCTCTGGAAAAGATCCAGGTGTAAATTGGAAACTTCATACTGCAGGTTCCCAGGTCAACCTCTGAAGTATCCACATGAACTGAGGCAGGACTCATGCCCATGAAGTATAGAATCTGGTTGAGAAAGGCCAGATATTATTAGAGGGCGATATTCAAGAAACAAGATCCTATTCTTACTGAATGTCTCAAGGAGAACCCAGAGGAGGATGAGTGGGCCAGGGACATCAAGGAAATTGAAGAGGCTATTGAGGCCAACATCCCAGATCTAAATCTTAAGCAGTTGCGTGAGAAAGTTAACGATGTGGCCATTGGAGATGTTATAGATGCCAAGCGTGAACAGTGAACACAGTTCACTCCAATCATGAATGGTTCAAACTGCAGGATCATGTAACTGACTCTAGACGGAGTAAAATCATAAACATGGTCACTTGGTCAGGTCTGGCAATCTTCAACTAGGAAATTGTATGAAAAATAAGTATGGAAACCAGTGGAAGTTGTGTTCAGTATGTAGTGCAAATGGCCCAGATGTTAGGCTAAATGAAGCACACATGATACTCGAATGCCCAGCAACTAGCGAGGAGAGAAAGAAGGCTGGACTAGTCACCTATATACAGCAGTACCTGGGGAAGGCCAACAAATACATCCTAAGACGATACCTGGGACAGGATTTGTGTGGGAGTCTGAAACTGCTAAACTGGGCTTGTGACATAAATACTATAGTAGAGAGATGGATGATTCGAACCCAACATTTGTGAGGTGAGAAATTATATTAATTTATCAAATATATCAGAGTAATAATAATAATAAGTAATATTTTAAAAAAAAGCGTAAAAGATTAGTTGCCAGACCAATATTTATCCTTTATAAATTTTTATTGGAAATTGCTATGAACGATTTTACACAGAAATAAACTACACTCAACACTGGGCCTGTGGGTTATTGGATGTCAACCTGGGGATTCGGCTTACTCAGGTTCCCAAAAATCCCTACACCTGGTGCGCTTACATCCAGGATTTAAATTAGGACATCCCCTAAGCGATTAACAAACAGACCACCCCAGGCGTGGTTGAACATGTATCGTGAGGGGAAGTACTGATGGGTGCGACTTCCTTGGGGACCAGAACATCCGCAGAAGTGTTTTTTAATAATAATAATAATAGTTATAGAACAGTCTAAAATAACTTTATTAATCCTATTACTAACATGACTATGTACAGTTTAATATCGGTATTACCTTTATTTATCCTATTACTAACAGGACCAAGGATGGTTATATTCCCAGTTTTATTCCCTGACATTTTGACCAATGAAAGTTCTCTAATTAAAACATATATTTATCTGAAAAAAAAACACATTAAACTTGCACCAATTGTATAATCTGCATTGTATCTCAATTTACAGGCGATTTTCAAAATTTTTAAAAAAATTACTTGCTTCTTTTTACTTTATACTTTATGATGGGCTTATGCCCTTTGGACAACGAATCCACTCTAGACAGGTCCTGTTCTGTCATGATCTGGCGACTAAGAACAGGGATCCTATTGTCAAAGAGGTAGCTTCAGTTGTCTTCGCTAATCCTACTGACATATGGACTTTGCAAACAAATGCTACTCTTTCCAAGCTTAACATAGAAATCCATACAGCTTGTTCGTAAAGGGACCCTGCGATAAATGCTCATGGAGCTTCATATCTCAGAGAACCTCAGCCGGAAGGCTGCCTTACCCTCGTTGTTGTGAATGCCAAAACCAGTAAGATGGTTCTCATTGCAGCCCCACGTCAACGATTCTGATGAATTCAAAGCGCTCAGTAGGTTTAGAGCAGGGGATGCTGGCTTGGGAAACCGGAGACCTAATGTTCATGGTAGATCCTATAAAAATTGTCCATGGTGTAAAGAGATGGGTGCTACAGCCGCCCTCAACGAACTACATGTCGGAGTGGTGTGCCCAGAAGTAGCATTTGCCCGATATACTAAAGGCATAACTCAATACATGAAAAATCATGTATCCAACTCACGACCCCATAGGGATGATCTTCAAGGACTATTTAGGGGGTGATGGAGCCAACGCCCGTACAATGGCTGCCAGAGCTTCCAGTCTCTATACCGTTCTAGAGAATTGGATCCAATTAGTGGCTGGGTTGTAAACAAGTAATGTCTTTTCTTGTGTTATCACCATTGAGGCTGTTGGAGGATGCACATCAGAATCACTTTGTGATTCTGCCCGACCCACTGGTAGCATCTTCCCATTGTAAGTATGGGAGCCAGGGGGTGCCGGAGCTCATGGGAGTTAGCCCCGATGGCGGTCTGGGCTCTCCAAGATGGGGGGGTCTTCAGATCCTCTCTTATCTTATCTTACCTTATACTTCTATGTTGACTCCTAGAAATCCAGGTAACATTATAGCAGGAGCTTCATTGTGGTCCTATGTAGCTGTAGCATCTTTGGTTTAAATGATGTTATCCAGTCCATCCTTAAATGATTTTACAGTCCTGCTATCTTTCAATTCAGTTGGCAATCTATTCCAGGGTTCAATAACCCTGTTTGATTAAAAGGAAGGAGAAGCTAACACATCAAAGCCTAATTCCGTCAGAACTTAACCCTCCCAAAGCATTTATGAGCTGGGGTATAGTTCTCTAGAAATAAAATTTGGGGCCTCGTTCTCTATATAAAGGATTTGGGGCCGATGCAGTTCTCTAGAAACAAGATTTGGAGTGTAATTTCTAGAAATATTAATTTGGAGTGTAGTTCTCTTGAAATAGTAATTTTGGTGCAGTTCTCTAGAGCTAGTAATTTGGGTGCAGTTCTCTAGAAACAAGATTTGGAGTGTAGTTCTCTTGAAATAGTAATTGAGGTGCAGTTCTTTACATATAGGATTTGAGGTGCAGTTCTCTAAAAACAAGAATTGAAGTGTAGTTCTCTTGAAATAGTATTTGAGGTGCAGTTCTTTGTATATAGGATTTGGGGTGCAGTTCTCTAGAAACAAGATTTGGAGTGTAGTTCTCTAGAAATAGTAAATTAGATGCAGTTCTCTAGTGTTAATGTTAATGTAACAATGTATGATTTTACCAGATTTATCTTAAAATAGAAGGAAATTTAAGATTATAAAATAGGCGAGGGGGACCAAAAATTGTCGCCCCACTGCAATTTATAACGTCTTCTTCTCTTTTTCATCGTCGCTGTATTTACTCTTTTTGAACCCTTTGTTCAATGTTCGACATTTTAATATTTTACGTAGTTCCGCGGCCAAAGTATATAAATGGTTTAGGTATCGCTTACTAAAGTAAAAGGATGCAGTAACAGGGTATATTTTCAAAATTTACTTTTCAAATTTCTTTTTTTTCACTTTTTAAATTTTATAAATGGGGTTGTGGAATTGTGTTTTATTTCTTTTTTTTACATTTTTTTCTAGATTTTTGAACAGTTAATTTAGGTATCAGAGTACTAAACTGAAAAAGTGAATGTACAGACTACGGCGCCTGCGCACTGACTCAGGACTGACTCTGTCTTGTCTTTAAAGTTTAGTCTAAATAACAATGTTGCAGTGGATGGTTATGTATTGGGTGGTGGGGCTGGCCACCACCCAGCAATCTTTTAACACTAATGGTTGTGAAAACAAATGTAGCAATTTTTATTCTCTTCAGTCTTCTCATTCTGAACAGGTTAACTTAGTTATTATATTTTGGGTTTAGTTTAGTTTTAAAAATATAGGTGAAGGCCGGCTGTTAATGGAGACCCATCTTTTGGTAAATTCCTAATAAACGATATTTGGACCCCCCCTGGCACCTAACCCTTCTATAAATTTTGTACATGGATCTTAAATGTAAGACGTGGAAATAATTGACCATGTGGCCGCAGCGACCGGCCCCCTAGCCTGTCCTAGCCGCGGCGCTCGGCCCCCTAGCCTGTCATCGCCGCAGCGCTTGGCTCAGAAATTTTCTGCTGAAAAATAAGTTGTAAGATACAAAATTGATAGNGGACGGACCCCATCTTTCATATCTGATTTATGTCGTCAAAGTCATGTCATGTTTAGAAACCTAGGCAATCAGTGATAGGAGTGCGTAAGAAGGAATTGAATTGTTTCACACATTAAAAGTATTCAACATGCATTGTCTAAAATCTACTGAAAATTTATTTTAAATTTGAATTCTTCCCAACCACGAAAGAAATTTTCCGTATGCGTAAAATTTGCGAAATCATTTTTCTGAAATATTTTTAATTTTTCGTAATATCAAGAATTTGTAAGCTTTAAAATAATCTCATGTATTATTCAGAATTCGTATCCCTCCCTGTAGTCCATTACTGAGGTCCATACAGTTCCCAAAATACTGAATGTTGGTGATCCCAAAAATATTGTTTTCCTCAAAATATAAAAAATGCACCCGCAGTGATTTTTTGGAAAACCCTACACTCAGTTATGCCCCCCAACTCTTAATGCAAACTCAAATTACACTATGCCATTTTTCAGTATGGGCTCAGATTCCTTTTATTTTTGGCCCCAATCTTTAGAAAATGTCCCAACACTTGTTGGATTTTTAAAATTACAATCACACATTCTTATCTAAATTGCCCCATCAGACTTAAATGGTCGCCTTCTTTTTTAAAATTGTCTCCAAATATTTTTTATTTGCACCTAAATTACTTGTTTTATCCCCAAATGATTGATAAATTTGCAGCCCGTCTAAAAAAATGCCCCTTCATATATTTTGAAGATGCCCCCTTAAAAGAAAATTTGCCTCTTAAATAAGCAAATTTATCCATACACATTACACAACTGCCCCGAACTGAAAAGAATGCCCCAAAATTAAAAAGTTTGTTTTACAGTCCTGCTATCTTTCAATTCAGTTGGCAATCTATTCCAGGGTTCAATAACCCTGTTTTATTTTAAACAGGGAAAAAGATGTAGTGTCATCGGCGCGCAGGTATCCCCATTCAATCATGAGCCTAACTAGAGCAGGGTTGGACAGGTCAAGAGAACATTACACAACTGCCCCGAACTGAAAAGAATGCCAAAAAAAAAAAAAAAATTTGCACCTAAAATATAGAGTAAAGATTTTTCCCACACAAATTTGCTCCAAACTGAAAAGAATGCCCCCAAATATATAATTCGCCCTCAAAAGATCCTGTTGGTAAGGTTATTTTTTCATGTTTGAAAATATTACACATTTTCTGGTATCCTGGTATCATTGTTATTTGGAAACAATCTACCCGTTTCTTAATTTTTTAAACCTGGAAGAAAAAATTAAATCTTCTAGTTTAAATATCAGAGAACGTCTCTTATAAAGTAGATCTTTTAACTTATCACATGAGAATAGTTAAGCTATGAGGCCGCAGTGCAGGTCCATAAATTGTCCAAGAAAATCGAGTTTTTGCCACAAGCTCAAAATTTTTAATCCCCATATGTTTTCAACCTGATGGATTATACCTTTGATTTTTTTTAAAACTTAGATTTAGATTATTTGAACTTATTTCTTATTTTGAAATATGAATGTCTACAACATTGGGTTGGGACTGGATAATCAGGGTTTGTGGCAAAGATTCAGTTCCTTATTAATATACAAAATTTGAATGGCTAAATATATGTTTGGGTATATATTATGAAAATTAAGAGTTGGAGTTGAAGCCGGTTTTCCGAGATTGAACTTCCTCTAAATAAAAACAAATAACCTGAGCTGGGAACTTTAGAATGGTGGATATCAGGATTAATGCTTAATCCTCTGTTTTTGCTAATCTCGAGACTAACATAATCTCGAGATTGTGTTAGTCTTGAGATTAAATATTTAGATCAACAAATTGGATTTTAAGAACGCCAGATTTGTTGGTTTTCTTGACTGAAAGGGCCCTCACTTAATTTCTCACCCATTTATTTATTAATACATTAGTTAAAATTGGTTACGTATTATTAAATATTTTTCTTCACCGATTAATTTATAAAATGGCCGACAACAAATTCTTGATTTGCTAGAAATTGCAGATTTCTCTCATGGGATAGAATTTATTTACAGGGCTTTCATTGGTCAATACAATTTACGAACTATATTCCTGCACTCTCTTTTTGTAGAAAATAATGTAAGGATATCCAAAGAGAGAGAAAAAGAGTGGATTAAGGACTAAGCTTAAAAGTTTCCACAGTGGATATTCGGATTAAGTAGTTGGTATTAAAGGTTATCCATTCTAAAGTTCCCAGCTCTGATGAGGTTTTAAAACTAAATGCCAAATTTTAAAAGATTTTCCAAGATCACGTAAGATTGAAATCTATTTTTTAAATCATAACTGCACCTACTAAAGAGTCTTTTAGTAGAAAAACACGTTTTGAGTTTCAAATATTCAACAGAAAAAAATAGATTTTCTCATACTTAACCGAAATCCACGGTTCACATAAAGGACGATCTAATGGAAAAGTAAAAATTTCTTCGTTTAGATAAACGACTCCTGGAGTGCTTGTGTCCACGGTTGTGAATTCTACAGTCGGCTGGATGATATCGGAGATGAACCAATCAATACTCTTCAGAACTGCAATTACAGTAAGTTTTTGAACAATAGACAAACAAAGAAAGTTTTCTTGGGATCGGGAATGGTATTTTTATCTCTTGACCAAGGTCGTAGAGATTACTATGAACAGGGGGGGTTCCGCTCTCCTGGTAATTTGAAAATCATGGAGGGGGGGGGGGCATGCACCCAACCAACCAAGGCAATCAACCAACCAAGGCACCCCATTCCTTATTGTCTTGTCCCCTAGTCAGAACTAGAGTAATATTTTTATATTTGTTTTTATTCGATGATATATGATTAATATATCTCATTTTGAATTATTAAGGTTGTGATGAGAGATATAACGGTGAAGGTATTCAGGCCTGCCAGGCCGGGTGCGGGTTCAACTTCGACAAGGATACTCAGGAGTTTACAGTTCCTAGCCACAGGTATAGTTAATACACCACACATATATACAGGGGGACCCGTTCAACCCTGGGATATGAAGACGACATTTAAGCAATATTATTTGTATTTGAAGTTGTTTTTTAACTACTAGGTTGAGCGCCCATCTTCTATTTCAAGTGTGAACATTTTTTCTTTATATACACTGTAAAACAAAAACAACAACAAAAATTTCTTAGATAAATTTTACCTGTATAGTTTTAAATGGGACTATGTAGTATGTACACTGCACAATTGCTGTGTTGCGAGGGAGGGGGTGCAGAGGCGCCATGATCCCCGCAAAAATGACCTCCGAACCTCAGGATTTGCAGAATTATCTCCAGGCCCCGCAAAACTGGTCTCCCAGCCTCAGTGACGTCACCAAGCCTACCGCCATTCTGTCTCCACGCCCCGCATTTTGGTCTCCGCTTGTTGTTCTTATTTTTTGTTTAAATTTATTGGCTTTACCAAACAAATATCAAAATATTTCTCTTCATAGTAGACTCTGTCATAGTTTAAAGAATCGTCTAATCAACAAATTTGACATGTTAATTCATTCAATTGTTCTGGAGTTGTTCTTCTGTAAAAGTTTACATTAAGATGGAATGAGTAAAAGACTACCTTTATAGACGACTTGTCTAATATTTTGAAGGCATCATGATTTGAAGATTTTCTTAACTCTCGATTCCTCAGCATTACATTTTATCATAAAAATTCAAATTAATGAGGATCTGTTCTTTAATATACGAGTTTTTGCGCACCCCCCCCCCTCCCCACCTCTGTATATTAATTTTTTTCAGTCAAATAAATGAATTCTCTCGCTAAAAGAAAAACTATTTATAATTAAATTTAACTTATTAAAACAACAAGATATGACACGAAGTTGCCCTAACCTGTTAGTATAGCATGTAATAGATATTTAGATTATTTTAATTCTTTGTTTCAATTTTAAAAAAAATAGTTCTTCAATATTTTCTAAAGCATACGATAAAATCACAAATACAAGGATTTCACTAAAACTACCTTGTTTTGTAAATTGTCGCTGATATTGTTTGATTGGTATATCAGACTCCTCTAAAATAATAGAACATTTTTCTATCTTTATTACAAAACTGCAATAGTTCTTCACAATTTAAGGAATTTGTGAAATTTAGAAAAACAAAATAAAAGCCTTTGATCTCAATTAAAATTCACTTTTTAATACAAAATGTTAATGTATCATTCTGAACTATTTCATCATGTTGAGAATTTTTTAAAAAAAGGTTCTTGGTGGAAATAAAAGCCAAATATTTTTTTTATTGGAGCCAAAATGCGGGGCGTGGAGACAGAATGGCGGGAGGCTTGTTGACGTCACTGAGGCTGGGAGACCAGTTTTGCGGGGCCTGGAGCTAATTCTGCAAATCCTGAGGTTCGGAGGTAATTTTTGCGGGGATCATGGCGCCTCTGCACCCCCTCCCTCGTGTTGCATGCTAAATTTGACTATATCTAATAAAATTTGGCCTAACTGTCGTCTTATTTGGGTCTTGTAGTTATCATATGAGTACAAGATCTATCAATTTTTATTATTATGAATTGAGGATCAATTAAATAAAAACTTAAATTAAAAATGTGATAAGTAAAGAAATATTTTATAAATATAAAATATTAATTTAGTGTTTTAAAAAAGTATTTAATTTTTTTTTTAAAGATTTTTTTGCAGTTAAAGGATCTTTAAGCGTTAATTTTATTTGACCCTTCATGCAAGGATGGCAATGCCCGGATCACAATGGTACCTTGGTTATCTGGTCGATAATATGGAAAATATTGGGATACAAGTGTTTAATTCTGTTAATTCCTTTATGTTTTCTTGTAGTGGGAATGCACAAGCCACTTTCATAGAGAATCCGCGATGGAAACTATCCGTTTTCAAACCTTAAGACATTGATTGCTAATTCATACTTGTTCAGACAAAGTTTTTTAGGGTACCGTAGAGAATCGGGCATTGTCATTTGTGCATGGAGGGTAACTTGAAATTACGCTTTTAGTCCCTTAAACAAAAAATTTAACTTGATATAGAAAGACAAATAAAAAAAGTAAAAGGTAGAAAGAGAAGTGATTAGCAATGGATGAAATAGTATAAGCTCATTGGAGAGTTGAGCAAGATCCCATGAGTATTTATTTCTAGGATTGAAAGCGAGGTCCCGAGCTCACGACCTGGATTTATCTCACTCAGCCTTCCCAAACTCTTCGAACAGATCAATAACGCCATGCCCAGATTAAACAGTATGATAGAGAAAACTTTCTCCAACCCCTTCAACAACGAATTCTCCATGCCCAGGCTCCCCAGCGGAATCTTTGGGAGGAAGGATGACGAGGGGACCGTGGACCCCTTGTTTGACAACTTCTTCAGCTCCATCAACAACCAGATGTCGAACATGATGAGTGTCATGCCGGATATGCCCAGGGTAAAATATTTGAATTAGTTTTTTCTTATCATTGCTGAGGCTAAAACTCCGCCCATTTTAAAGTTTTCAGCTCGAGTTTAACCTTTTATTTTGATACTAATATTTTTTACTATCGATTTAATTAATTCATTCATATGTGAATTACAATTGTTATGTGGAGAAAGTTGAAAGCTTAGAAACAAAAAACTTAAATTCTAAACATTCACTTGTAACCACATGCCTATTACCTACCCTTAACTTCAGTAGAAATGCACTTTCAGACACTAAAATAAATCCTTCCCCTGCAAGTGCACACTCACAGTGCACACAGACATACATCTTTTTTATTTTTTACATACATGCACTAAGAAAATCAATGACACCCAAGCTGCACATAATTAGATAAATAAGCACTGTAATAAAAATCTTGCACTTTATTGTGTATTGCCTTGCGCAGATAAACATTGTAAGCATGATAGCTTTTCGTATAATAAATACATACAATTACAACCACTGAATTAAACTCAGAATTCACGTCCAATACCGTTTTATCACCAGCTTTAAACACCTTCTTTCTAACAAACTTTAACCATTGACATGATGCTTTTTAATGGTTTTTAATTAGTAGCCAAGCGAAATTTTTTTTTTGAGGTGGGAGGTGTAAAAATTAGACCGTAAAAAATACGTATTTGTAAAACGCGCAAAATACTAAATTGCAATAAATCATGCACAGGGTGAATTTGCAGAGAATTGGCACAACCTCCATCCATACTTACAATTCTTGCCATTTTATCTGAAAGTGAGAGTGATGCACTGCACATCAACCTTTATCAAACCGGTTTCAAATGCCTCAGTATCATATAATATACAAAAAGTGGGTGCGCATTGCAAATAAAGCTTTTTATATATATAAAATATGCAACCGGGAGGTGGTTTTTAAGTAGACGAAAAATTAAAAGATATGCGAAAAATGATGTGATAGGGCAGAATTTATTTGAGTCACAATCTTTAAAAAAAAAAATAATGCTTCTGGTTGAATTTGCATTTTGAGGTGCCTAATTGTTTTTTGTAATGTATAAACGTGCGTCAATCCGTTTCTAACAAAAACTTTCTCTTTGTCAATAAACGTCCTGAGATGGAATTTAAAGAATTTGAGCCGCGGTTTAAATCCGCCAAACCCCGGTTTAAATTCAGCGCCGGCTTAAATTTTGAAACATTTGATACAATTTTAAGTGGAACCAACCATATTTAAACCGCGGCTTAAATTTAAACCGCCGCTCAAATTCTTTAAATTCGGCCACTGAACTCATATTGCAATAGATTTTGTCTGTTCTTGTGGCTTATTTTCTAACATCCGCTTAAAAATATATTTTATAAGGGGCTGTCTGCAGAATTATTTTTAGTTGCGCTAAAATATAAATGTTATTTTTATGCTACGGGTCATCAAACTTTCTTGAAATTATTTGTCATTTGCGGATTTAAGCAGCGGAAAGTAAAAAGGAAGATGCAAGAATTTATTTTCTTTTCATAATAAAAAACTATATCTTTTTCATTGTTAAGACTAGACACGTCAAATTGAAGTAAAATGCGCATAACATTGAAATCGTAAATATCATAAATCTTTTTATTGAAGAAATATTGAGAAGAAGACATTTTTTTGAATTCTTAAGATGTAAGTGTAACTGAATAAATTTTTTTACACTTGTGCGTAAAATCAGACATAAACGAGCAACGGGGTCACAAAGTCGTAACAGTAATGAAAATTTAAGCTGACCCTCTCCTCCTGGTTAGTTTGCAGTGTAAGGTTCTAAAATTACCGTTATGAATCAGGCTAGAACTCTTATACAACTCATTCTCAAAATTACGACAAACATCGGTCTGAAGACTTACCCGTACAATCTCTTCTACAATTTAACTTTATATTCTGAATTCTCATCTGTTCAATTAAAACAGTTTACTCGCCCACTCTTCACCAGATGACGTAATGTTAATTTTAGACATCAAAATGTCATTGAATGTTTCGTTTACTTTCAAACGATGTCTTAAAGCGGGACCAATAAAACTCGTAATGGGTAGACGCAATAATCTTATGTGTATTCTTGTATTTGGGTTATTATTAAGCAAATACTTTTATTGTTAGTTTTGAAAACTTCTTGTGTGAAATAAACCATTTAGAATCATTACTTGAGTCTAGTTGTAATAAAGCAAATACTTTCATTGTTAGTTTTGGAAACTTCTTTTGTGAAATGGACTATTCTGAATCATTACTTGAGTCTAGTTGTAATAAAGCAAATACTTTCATTGTTAGTTTTGAAAACTTCTTTTGTGAAATGGACTATTTTGAATCATTACTTGAGTCTAGTTGTAATAAAGCAAATACTTTCATTGTTAGTTTTGAAAACTTCTTTTGTGAAACGGACCATTTTGAATAATTTCTTGTGTCTAGGTGTTATTAAGTAAATACTTTTATTGTTAGTTTTCAAAACTTCTTTTGTAAAATGGACTATTTTTAATCATTTCTTGAGTCTAACAGTCGTCATTCCATTCCACAGTTAAATGGGCCCCACTGTATTAAAGTCTTAAAAATCATCACGAAATATGTTTTTAATATATTACGAATATTCTTTTAGATTTCTGGTTTGAACTCCTGGTCTCCTTTCTCCTTCCCCGAAGGAGGTAGTTCACGTTTTTATTTTTTAGATACGATATATAATAAATTATATTCCATGTTAAACGTTATAAAGTCTTGATAAATTGAATAGACTAATGACAGCCCATATTATACCGTGTATATTCTACGCATTATCTATTACCATGTGTAGATAAATATTCATATTTTTCTTGTATAAATGAAACTAAGAGCACCGAAGTTGTATTGTAGATGATTATACAAGTTCGAGTACACCCTTAGAAAATAGAACCCCCTCTTAGCTATTCCTTAAAGGATTATTTGAGCAAGGATCAGAATTAATGAAAAGGGTCATTCTTTATGAAAATCATGGAAATCATTGTTATGGATTTTCTTAAAATGTTGAATATAGCTAGCATATCAACGTCAAATCCAAAATTTCAGCCTCCTGTGAGTTATAGCATCCTAAAGTTCCGGCCTCGAGGTAATTTTTGGCCTGACCTCGCACGCTTTAAATTGTTTGTAACTTTTTTGTTAACAAAGATATCAAGCTAATGTTAACGCCATTTTATTACCATTTACTGAAAGATTAAATTCTAATTTATTTATTTTTTACTAAATGCATATGCTCAGAAATTTTATTTATATTATATTTTTTTATGAGGCTATCCTCCAATTTTCACAAAATTATGTTGTGAGATTCCCTATATAATGTATTTCATGATCATGTGAAGTTTCATTTTTGGAATTTACTTGCTGTTGGATGTAGAGCTTTTAAACCATAATTTTCGAATATTTTTTGAAAATTTGCTTCGTCGAAGACAAGTTTTCTAACAAGAAAGACGACTTTACTATGAGTAAAGACGACCGTAATAGAATATTTTTTTATAACGTACTGAACTTATGATTGAGAGAATCTCACAAAAAAAAAATTTTGCGAAGAAAAAAATCGAGGTAACAAAATATAACTACAATTTCTAACCATATGCAATTTGTAAAGTAAAATAAAAATTTCTTCATTTTGTTAGTAATAATAAAACGGCATTAAAATTAGATTGATATCTTAATTAACAAAAAAGTTACAACCAATTAAAGCATGCGAGGTCAGGCTGAAAATCGCCTCGAGGCCGGAACTTTAGAGGGCTTAGTAACCAGAGGTCCAGGAGCCAGAAATTTTGGATTTGACGTTTTTTCAAAATTTTCATAATATGCTAGCTATATGCAAAATTTAAAGAAACCCCATGACATTAACTTCCATGGGGTGGCTGACTTGATAAAGAATGGTTAAAAAGCGAAGACGTAGTTCAACCACTTCTATTCAGCTTGAACTGGCGCACTAGAGAAGAACTACGCCGCAGCGGTCGCAATTCATTAAATCTGGTCTAAAGGCGTAAGCTAAAGGGTGTCCCATATCATATTGGATCTTTAAGTTTTAGGATTTCTTTTGAGAGTATTGCTTTCAATTCATATACATAATAAATACATGTTGTTTAATTGTATAAAATGATTGTCCAATGGACATGGATACATTTCGGTGAATGATGTTGACTGCTAATAACAATATTAATAAGTTTTATGTATACAGGACCTGCTGGCAAGATAACTGTGATCAAAGCTGGACCTGGATATATGGAGGAGAAGCACTATGATATAGGAACGGATGGAAACCTTGTGGAGATTACTGAACAACCCCCAGCACTTCTCAATGATGGATGTGAGTAATATATTTGGTTTTGGACAAATGGCTGTGTGGTTACGGCTGAAGTGCTGAATTAAGTTTGAAAATAAAAATGATTTAATTCAATCTTTAATTTTTGTTAAAAAGAATAAATTACTTTGAGTTTAAACTTTTTTATGGGATATAATTGGAACCTGGATTAAGCTAGAATGTCTCATTAAAACATTTAATGGGTTGTCATCAGAATATGCAAAATGAATTTGTACTGTGTTTATCTTATTCTAAAGTTTATAATTTGTTATGTTTACAGTGGCTCATGAGAACCCCATGGATTCCAGTTTTGACGAAGATGATGTTGAAATCTTCAAACCCCTTGATAACTCCCAGAACAGCTTGGAGTCTCTGGAGTCCCAGAACAGCCTGGAGTCTCTGGAGTCCCAGAACAGCCTGGAGCCCTTGAGTAGCCTGGAGGAGTCCCTTGATAGCCTGAGCGCCCCTGTCCCCCAAGTGAAGGAGGACCCGGAGGAGGAGAGCGTGAACCCTTTCCTCTCCGTCATCAGGAACTCTATCGAGGAGGGAGAGAAGCTGAAGGAGGAGTTCATCAAAAAGTACAGATCATTCAAGGATTCAGAGTACACAGACACCAGTACATGCAACAGTGAGAATCTGTAAGTAAAATCATTTTTTTATTGTTATTGTTATTGTTATTGTTATTGTTATTGTTCTTGTTCTTGTTCTTATTGTTATTGTTATTGTTATTGTTATTGATATTGTTATTGTTATTGTTATTGTTATTGTTATTGTTATTGTTATTGTTATTGTTATCGTCATTTTTAGTATTTTTACTTATACCGTGAATAATAATTTTCACGGTTTAATCTTGAAAAATTATGTTAAATGATTTCTGAGCCCCTTCCTTCTTCTCATAACATGCACAATGCACATGAATAAGTGTATTCAATAGATAGTAAGAGTTTATAGAATAGAGATGGTTCTCACGTTCCCGGAAATAATCCCCCCCCCCCCCCTCCCTTGCTGCCGGTTAAAACTGGTTTTAAATATATTCAGAAAAACGAACGATGCATCTTTAGAGAGCGTCCGTGAGAATGGTGCCTAATTTAATCATTTCCTGGTGAAAAAGATTTATTTTCATTTCCTTTGTATGGAAAAATACACCTGATATCACTTGATTCTATCGAATTTTTTTCTTTTGATGCCTGTTCGAATTTACATGTAGCAGACATACATATATAATTTTTAATTTTCTATCCGCCCTCATATCAGATTTAATCTCCAAGCTATATAAAGTTAAGTGAATGGATTCAATTTTGGGATCCAGCGATACATTAAAATAAAACAATTTAGTCCAACTCTTGGGAATGGGATTGAAGAACAAAAAAATTTGAATATCATTTTATAATAGAAAATTTGGCAAAAATATACATTCATGTTCATGTTGAATGTTAAACATAGTTTAAATAAAACTTTCCGTAATGTTCATTGTTTATATTATAGAAAAGTTTGCTAACTTTGAAAAGCTAAAATTTGTGACGGGGGGGGGCAGTGTCCCATCCCTCCCCCTTGTAATTTACATTTTCTCCCAATATGGGATCACATGAGAGAAACAGGTTTAGGTAAATTACAAGTTTTGTTATTATAGATTTATATAAACAGGAAAAGTAATGATAACTAAATCGTATTTTGAAAGATATTAAATACAAGAATTTGTAATTTTTATCAAATATATCACAATTATTGACCGTGAGGGAATCCCGAATAAACATTCTTCAAATTTGGAAATCCAAGAAATGCCGTCACCAATTATCTTTTTTACGGAAACAAATATATTTTTTATATAAATATTAACATACTGGAGCATGATTTGATTTGAAATCTAATGTTTCCTATATTTGGAAGTATTTAAGTTTAGTATTGATACAACGTAAACAAATGTTTACATACGCATATCCGGTTCATGCAAGTCTACAGCAGTTCAGAAATTGTAAATTACAATGGAAATTATTTTATTTAATTAATTAGTTAACTAACAAGCTTTCTCTTCGTACCCCAGTTTTTGATAATTCCAACATATAATAAACCCTAATCGTTTATAAAATCTGATTTGTATACATAAAATCTTTACAACTAACTACATTATACAACAGGGTAATCAATACAGAATGGGACGTTTTATTCAGCTGTACAATTTTATGCACTCCGCATCTTTCATTTCAGTTTAGTTATACACCTTTTTTGCACATTTATCAACATTTTCAAGATTATTATAACGTTTAAGATTAACCTTTTTAAGTTTCAGGTTGTTTCTTATTAGATTAATACGTAAAGAAAATATAAAGAGCTCATTGTTATAAAGAGAATCACTGACTTGCTTTTTAGGTCATACCATTGTAACAACTACAGGGAAGAAATTTAATCTTTTTATGCTTTTTTTAAGTTCTACTCAAAAGTACTTATTTAGTCAGTTGAAATTTGAAGTTGAAAAGAAATGACTATAAAAAATAGAGAATTATCTCAAGAATATATATCCTTGTAGCGTTACAAAGCGAATGAAAAGATGGGTGGAAAGGTGGGGGGAGGTGGAACGGTTATTAAAATCTTAACAGAAAAGAATATTTCGCAAGGACACGATGTTCTATCATGCAAGCATGACGAGCTAGCTTGAGACAGGATAAATATTAAAACTAGGATCAGATATAAACAGATTAAGGGGTCTGAGAGCGTTATTTCCATGCAAAGATGACAAAGTTACAACGGTACCTTTAAAAGCTTTGTTTGATCAAGTATGAATCAGTTATCAATGTTTTAGTTTCATTAGACTGTTTATTTTCATATGCGGTTTCGAAAATTACTTGCGCATTTTTCTTGATTATAGAAAGCAATGGAGAAGTTTACAGAAATAAAGACTTTTCTAGGCAGAAGAACGACGGTATCTTCCACATTTTTGATCAGGTTATGGTTTCAAGCGTACCGTTGTAAATCTGGAATTGCCATTTTTGCATGAAGGGCCACATGAAATTACGTTAACACTCCCTTTAAATAATAATATTTATCCCTTAATCCTGGGAACTAGTGTCAGGGTTCTCAGCCTGTTGAGCAGAAGTGCAATAGGAAGCAGTTAGAGATAACAAAACAAAGGTTAGGAAGGAGAGAAGGTTCGGTTTGGTTCAATAGATCATCTTAGTTTAAGGTTAACTTAATTCTTAGTACGTAGATCCTAAAGGGTGGAGTTTGTTATATAGACTGAGGTACTAAAGAGAAGTTTTAGATATGAAAATATAGTTTGTGGATTCAGAAACGTATTTAAATGTATTCCGAGCTGGGAACTTGTGAATGGTGGATATCGGGAGTAATGCTTGATCCACTCTTTCTTAATCTCCAGAGCTGAAAACTTTAGAATGGGATATCCTTTATACCGATTTGTTAGTTAATCTGGAGATTAATAACAAGAGGAGAACGACCCATATTTAATATGGAGATTAATAAAAAGAGAAGATCAAGCAATGATCTTGATATCCAACATTCTAAAGTTTTCAGCTCAGATTAAATAATGCTTGTTTACCTCTTATTATTCTCTAGAGCTGAAAACTATAGAATGGGATATCCTTAATTCCGCTCTTGTAATTAATCTGGAGATTAATAACAAGAGGAGAACAAGCATTATTTAATTTCGAGATTGAGAGAAAGAGTGGATCAAGCCTTAATCCCGATATTCACCATCCAAAAGTTCCCAGCTCAGATTAATTTACCGATTGAGATTAAGAATATCCCAGTATAAAGTTTTCAGCTCAGGATTATATTATATAAGGTTTCATTACACAAGAAACACAAACTTACTCAATGGTTATAAGGATTTAATCAATAGCTCTCAAGAAGAAAGAATGTAACTTATGAATCTATATTGAAATTAGCTTTAGTTTACTGTGAATTCTCTGTTATTAGAGCCGGTGTCTGTTGAAGAACTTTAGATATTGGTTGAATAGTAAACAAAGGATTATAAAGGGATAAATATCAATTTGAAGAATATTTCCTGATGAATAATGATGCCAGGATTAAAATCTGTGAACTGTAAACTATTAAATGCATTTATCTCTCAAGATTCTTCTAGGAACCTTAAGATAAGGCAGCATCATGTTTTAGCAAGGGTTTACCAGGAAAACATTTTTAAATCGTGATCACTAAAAGGTTTAAAGTCATTAAAGATTGATTTTAAACAAAAATAAAATTATTATGAAAGTCAAACTTGATCACACTAAAGTATACGCGAGTTAATTCTTATCCAATGAGTTAATTCTTTGAGATTTGCTATTTGTTTTTAAATAAGATCTTCACAAAACTAAATCTTAGAAATAAATAACATTATTATAGACATAAATAAAGGAGTGGAGAGGGGGGTAATTTTAATTTTATAGATCTTATTTTTCGAACAATTAGGGAAAAGTATCCACCCTGGTAAATTGCATAATGTTATATACCAACTATTTTGAATTGAACCAGAGTTTCTAACTGGTGACCGTGAAACCATTATGTCCTTCTGTCTGTTTCAATTTTCTTTAAACATGTCATGCCACATTTAATCCTAAATTTATAGATGTATGCGTTTATGAAGTATTTAAGGGTCGTTTAAAATGGAAATTTCTAGATTGAACGGATTCCTCAATTCTACCTTCTACATGAGAAGGATTCCTATATATACTACAGCTTAACCCAGTACTTCAGAGACATCGAAAGAATTTATAAAATGATTTTTTGAACCTACTAATTATGAAATGCTGCAGATATTTGGTTTTTAAGTAAATAATTATATGAGGTCTTTATAACTGTTTGAAAAATTATCAAGACGGCATTTTATAAATTCTTTCGATGTCTCCAAAGTTCTGGGATAAACTTCAGTAGATCTTCAAATATGGATGAACCCTGAGTTAAGCGAAACCCTAAATAAAAAAATTTCCTCGAGTAGAATAACTCATTAGGAAACCTGCTTCTGGATTAGGAGAACCCCAAGTTTGGGAGAAGTTATTGCTTAGAAAAACTTCTAGATCAAGAAAACTGCTTTATTAGCAGAACTTCTAGATTGGGAGAACCCCAAGTTTGGGAGAAGTACGTAAATAGAAAAACTTTTAGATTAGGAAAACTACTTTATTAGCAGATTTTCTACTTCAGAAGATGGATTTCTTTATCAATAGATCTTCTAAGATAAGGAGAACTCCAACTAGATAAAATTCTAGATTGGAAAACACCCCAGATCCAGAATTTTAAAACTCTGTAGGCTAAATTTTTCTTTGATTTTTAAGAACTAGATTTAAGCTTATTAAAGGATAAAGACACATTGAAAAGTTATTGAAGTAAAACTTTGGAAATAAATTGGATGATAGGATGAATAAACATGATAAGGGAAACTAGTAAAAGTTTGTAGAATGATTGGTCGAGTTTAGAAGGATATACATTGAGCTTGATTTCACACAATTACCACCAATGAGTAGTCATTTAGTTTCACCGATGTCACAAACTATACTATTATATAAATATTCTAGTTAGATATTTAAATGGTAAACATTGTATTAGAACACAAAGACCGAGGTTTGGAACAAAGACATAAAACCTATTTTTAGTATACTTGAGATATACTTCATGTAATTTTAACTAAGATTGAAACAAAACAAAAAATATTTAAAAAGAAGTTGTTGATCAGAACACGTCTAATAATGCATTGTATCTCCTCTAGATTTAATTTTACTCTTAAGCATAAGAATTGAAAATGTATTCAGCGGCATATTGTGAATTAAAAACTGTTCTCTTTTTCTCAATACCTCTGTATAGAAAGCTTTAAAGGAACTTAATCTTTGCCACGAACTTAAATGTTCTAATCTTTATCTTTGCCACCTTATGTTGTGAACCTTGGATGTTTTCATTTTAAACTCAGATATTTCGAGTTAACATAATTTAAAGTTTGAAACGTCTAAGGCCTACGACATCGGGTTGCAAAGATATAGGAATTAGAGAAATCAGAGTTTGTGACAAGTACTTAATTCCTTTACTGTAGTTTGAACAGGAAAAAAAAAACATTTTAATTTTAAGGACATAATCTCTTTTCTAATGATAAAAGTAGTGTTACAATATTTAGTCTAAATCCTGTAAATGAAGCAAATAATGGGATGTTTATAATTATGTCCGGGATACACCGGAAACTGAGTTTATACAAGCAATCTACAGCAAGTGTATAAATACAATACATATATTGTATATATTTCAAATACTCAATCTCATATATATTAGATAAATTGTACTTATGAAAGTGTTCATTACAATGTTAACCTCTTTCAAATAAGTAAGTTCATATACATTGTACAATACAATACATTTATAAATACATGAGCTGAAAAAAATCCCAATTTTGTTATTTATATTTGGGTTTGATTACTGAATTAAAAACTTTTGGGAGATAAAAAAAAATATTTTTTTTTTCTATTTTCTTTCTCTTTCTTGTACTTACGTATGGCTCCTACTTTTAAAAGTAGATGTAAAAATCTAAATATTCATGAAAATTTTATTTTTATTTTTCATTTATTGGCGAAGTATTAAATAGTGTGAAAATGTAATTTTATAAACTGATGAAAAGAATACTAATTATTAAACAGAGCGCTAATACATCAAAGTAAATTTAAACAAGTTATTATTAATTGCCAGTGTTTCTCAGTTAGTTTATTAACATCGCATTAATATTTATAACAGGCTAGATGATGATTTTAATACAAAACACATTTCTCTGAATTATATACTTACATTTGTTACATAAATTAAAAAATAATATTTAGAATTATGCAAATTTGTGTTAGCGCGCTGCGGTTAGAGCAAGGAAGTTGTTTTACCATGAACTGGTTGATCTTAAATTATTTTCGGTTCATTTAATTTAATAATAAATACTTAACAGGATCACGCTGTAAACGGAAGAGGGGGGGGGGTGAGGGAGTTAAGCTAAAATTCAGCAAGAAAAGACAAATATATTTTTGTTAAAAATTAATTTTTACGGTATTTTATACTCTTATTACTGGATTAGAAACACAGGGGGAAATGTTCTTTAAACATATGAGAAAATATGTGATTTGAGAAAATATGTGATTTTCTTGTGTCTGAGGGAGGGCTTACATGTGCAGGAAAATAAAACTCCTTCTGCTTGTCAATGATTAATCAGTTTTTAAACTAATTTTCTGATTTGTTGCATGAACAATTTTTATGTCTTTTATAAGTTTGTTTATCATTGAATTAATATTTGTAGACGTTGGTCCGACTGGGTGGCGTGTGTACATATTCGTTTGGGAGCTCCTCGTTGGTTGACAGCTGCTACTATTGCACTCGGGATAATATTCTCCGTCTGGCTCTGCCTGGTTATCCCAACTGCTGCTCCTAAACGCAGACTTCGCAACCTTATCATCAGGAAGGAGAAGGTGAGGGATGGGATGGGATGGGAAGGGAAGGGATGGGAAGGGATGGGAAGGGAAG